GCAATCAACATCTCAAACTTCATGGTCTTGCACGTTTAGCCTTCAGTACTGTATCAGTTCTTATGTATTTTTCTATTCCTTTATTGCCTCTGCTAGTCCTAAAATTGGCCATTATATTTCTCAAATAAAAGGACTGAGTACAAAACTTCAAATTTCCATTCCCATTATTAAAATTGATCTGAAAAAAAAACTTCCGTCTTTCTTAAAAGCAGTGTTTTGAGTGTAGCACTAACATTCAAACAGCTGCAGTTACAGAAAATATTTTAAGGACTGCAACATTTGCTTGGATATTGTTGGTTTTGGCTCATAGTACGGCACTAAAACTCATGTCACCTGATTTACATCAAACTGGCCGACGAGAGGGATGTCAGCGACAATCCAATGCTTGGAAACCGACTTATTGATCAACCTCTAGCTTTCATAGCATAACATTGTCTTCAATTTGTTATGCTTTGAGTCAGAGTTTTGGATTTATTTTTAAAACTGCAAAATAGGAAGCCGTCAAAAATCGGTGAGTGTGAGTTTGAAGTGCTCCAAATGACATTCTACTGTTTATTTAAAACTTTTAAAAACTTTTCTGACCACTCAACTGTATACCTATATCTCAAGGAAATTTATGTAGACATTATCCAATTTGCTGGAGTATTATTATATTAGTATCTGTTATTTTATTAGATTACATATGCACACGGAAAAGGCGGTGACCCCGAGATTAGGCTTCATCGATTTTCTATTTGCTTGTTCTATTAGCCATCCTCATACAAACTTAACAATGCCTAAACTAGTGCAGTAGTTTGTACATATTCACAGTGACTTATTGCGATATCTAACAACCTACATAAAATGTAAGTAACGTATTTTTCCATGCTTTTCAGATTATTAACCTATAATATACAGGGTGATAACTTGAAATTATAAAAATATATAAGGTTTACCATTTAATTTTCTTTTGTGAAAAAGTGCATTTACGTTTATAAGCACCCTGTGAATCTACATGAAAAATTTATTTTAGTTTGCTTTATAAACTATAGTCCAAAAATGTTTTCTTACCAAAACTCGGTGTGTTGAAGTATTAGGAAAAAAATGGAAATTAATTGGGGGATTGGTCTGCATTCAAATTGTATGCAAATTCACAAATGTGTGTTTACGGCTTTTGTATAGTATGGAAACAGTTTCTGCTTCATTTAGTTTTCAAACTGGATGATAGGTCTATTTTACACTGTTATAATAATCTGAATCTATATTTTTGGATCTAGCAACACTGCCGATGTACGCTTTCGTCTGTTCCATGTAATACAGTTTTCTTTCACGGTTCCACAACGGATATTCGCTTCGTGCAAGATTGCAATATATTGGACACACAGTAGATAGTTACAAATTACAATCTGCTTTATTTGCCTTGCAACTTCCTGCCAAAAACACGCAAACTTTATTACGTGTTCAATATTCATGAAGCAATGCTACTTTGAGTGTGAATATTCATCTTTAGCGTGTGGCTTCCAGGTATCAAGTATGCTTCTTGCATGCTTGGCCCTTTCCATATAAATAAGTTCGAAAACACCATACACGGCATACAATTTTCGCTATTCTAATTGAATGAATACATTCTCTATTGGTTGTTTTAATTCACCATCAGGATTAACTAGGTGATTTTACAAAAGTGTTATTAGTTGTATACATACAAACATTTTATAGGTAGAACAAGCTGCTAACATAAAAGGAAAGAACGAGATTTATATGCAAGGCCCACTTTTTCTTATGTTTTCCTAGAAGATTTTAGGGACAAATCATGACCAGTTATGAATTTATTTCAGAATCAGATTTATCATTAAAAACTTTGAAATTTTCAAAATAATGCTACCAGCTCTTCACATCTATTTCATGTTAAGACGGATACCTACAAATTGAGAATTATCGAGCGATATATTGCTGTAGTTCTCCTGGAATTTTAATTAATTCCTAAACTCCAAGAGTAGTGACAAGACAATTATCTCACCATTAATGAACTTCATCAATTCATATAATCGCAAAATTCTTCATTAGAAATAAGCCAGTGTTTCCTTCGCCCCACAAAAGAATTTTTACAACATTGACCTTTTGGAGAAAAGTAACTTCTCAGTATCTTGATTAGTGTAAGTCGTAAGAGATCTATCTTCACAGAAGGTCGTGCGTCTCTTTGTACTAAAAAATTATGTATCCCACAATAGGATCCCACTACTACTAATACTGACCATTTTTTGGTCGACGTTGCCAATTTTTAGCTGAACTGTTACTAAATTATGACGGGCAAAGCTGTAGTTTTCGTAAGGGGGAGTCTAAAAACATTGTGAATGAGTCTGAACTGTAGATTATTTCTAGGTCCAAAACAATTTTACTTAAGGACTCAGAAAAAACGTGTCGCTCTTGTTGCATAATTTGTCGAACTCGTAGGTGGTTGCCCCAATCATTTTGAACCTTTTTTGTTTTATTCTTTAATAGCCATTTCTATTCATACCTAAATTTTTATTTTGTGAAGAGTCACAAAATGCGGAGAATAAAATTATACTTTGCCTTTCGAAAACAGGAAAGTAAGTTTCTGTTGATTTTTCTAGTGAGATACATATTTATTTTTTTATCATCCTCCCAACCTTTTTTTGATCACGTCGCTGTAAAGATACTGAAAAATACATCATACACGAAAACATTTTTCCCATTGTAGAAAATGATTCGAGAAATATGGAAAGATCCGTTTTAAAATTGTATTGCTTTCAGTCTACAAGTTGCAAAACAAAGCTATGCAAATTTCCTCAAAACAGCACGAAAAAGGTAGTTGCTGGTTTTTAGGGGCAAAGTGACGTTCCTTTCAATACTTTTTTAGTTCAAAGAGATGCACGACCTTCTGTGAAATTCTCAACAGATGTATACTAAGTGACATATAAATCCGAACACCCAGTTTAAATGGTTTTATTTTAATAGAAGTTGGTGAATGTATTTATCTTACTGTAAATAACAAGTGAAAAAATTTTCAGCCTTATCAGTTGGACATTCCGGTTTTTATACTGCCTTTTTTTAATTCACTAACGCTCTAAAAATGAATATTTCAGCCGCAGTAAAGAATTAACGTTGGCGAATTTTGGTTCTTGACATCCTTTACGATCGGTTACGATACCTAGAGTACGGAGACCTGTACGATTTCGTCAACTTGGTGAGTTTGATAGGGGCCGTATAGTGGGACTTCGGGAAGCTGGACTTTCTTATCGGGCAATTGCAGTTAGAGTGCAAAGAAGTGTAGACACTGTGGTTAGGTGTTGTCAGGCATGGCTTCGAGAAGGCCGTACGCAAAGAGCAAGGGGCACTGGACGCCGCCGTAGAACAACAGACCGTGAAGATCGCCGCCTAAGATTATTGGTCTTAAGGGACCGTTTCTCCACTACCAGGTCCATTGCAAATGAATGGTTTGCAGAACACGGAAGACCTATTGGCATGCGAAGTGTTTACCGACGAATGAGAAGTTTTGGATTGTTTTCATACCGGCCACACTGGGTCTACCCTTTAACTCGAGAACACCGACGTAATCGCCTTGAGTGGTGCAGACAACGGTCCCTCTGGGATCAGGAATGGAACAGTATTGTCTTTAGTGACTATTCTCGATTTTGTTTAGGCATGCACGATGGTCGTGCCAGGGTTAGAAGGCGACGTGGTGAAAGGAGGAATCCACAGTTTTTTGTTGAAAGACATGTTCATCACACTGTTGGAGTTATGGTTTTTGGTGCTGTAGCTTATGGTTCCAGGTCACCTTTAATCTTCATCTGAGGTAACATGAACGCGCAGCGTTATATCCACGGAGTTCTAGAACCCCATCTTTTACCCTATCTTGACACCCTGGCAGATCCAACTTACCAACAAGATAATGCCCGACCACATGTTGCAAGAGTCACAATAGACTTCTTTCAACATAATGATGTCACATTGTTACCATGGCCACCAAGATCTCCCGACTTATCCCCAATTGAGCACGTGTGGGTTATGATGGGTAGCAGATTGCTCAATTTGCAACGTCCTCCTCAGACTCTAGAAGCACTTCGAGAGGAGTTGGTGGCTGCCTGGAATGAGATACCATAGGAGGACATTGACCAGCTGATCAGAAGCATGCCTAGGCGCGTTGGATAATGCGTAGCACATCAGGGTGCTTCCATTAAAGGTCAAAGGGCTTTAAAGCAGTGCAATCATTTTGAAATTTTTATCATTTACTTATTATGCTTCATTAAGTACTTATACACAATTTTATTAAAATAAAACCATTTAAACTGGGTGTTCGGATTTATATGTCACTTAGTATATATATTCGAGGCTTTCACAGCATTAGTGCTGTTTTCCGCATTCCAATCCCCATTTACTCTTATCGTTAACAAATACTTTGCTTAGGTCTCTCTTTTCCATAGCTTCCAGCAACTAATTAGATTTTTGAACAAAACATTGTGAAAATGAATATAAATGTTCATCACTCAAAACCTTATTAAATTGGCAAGTGAAGATTTAAATATCTTTTTACGTTATTAGAAGCTTTTAAAATTTTGAAAACACCATAATAAATATTGAACCGCTCTATAGTGGGGGAGATAGTGAACTGCAATAAAGTAATGCTTTTCTCAAAAACAAGAGTACTCAAAGGTTAGACTTTCTAAAAATGTTACCCTTTAGGCATTATTATACAGAGTGCAACTTTTTTGCAATATAACGCTGGGGCTAGCTATCTGAATGAGTTAATTGCTATTTATAAACACAATCATATTATGCCGCAATTGGATAATAAATGCTAACAAAATTTCGTTGAATTATACAGTCTCGTTGTTTCTGAAAGACAAAACACCGGTGGCATTCTTTAGGAGTGTGCCTTCGTAGAGGATGCAAACCCGTTCATAGAATCTTCTGTTTTTATTGGGGTTACTTGCAAGAAACCTGTGTGAAATCACTTCACCTCTGAATTGCTTAACTTGCAATTTTTTTTGCCGAGAAGTATTTTGACTTAATGTGTTTCTATTGCAGGTCGTCCGGTAACTTCGGGAGCGCGGGGGGTGCGCGGTCCGCTCCCGGCACCCCGCTGGAGGCATGTCCATCCTCAGCCACAGCATTGGCTGCATCCAGCTCGTCCGCTGCCCCCAGCGCAGGCTCGGCCGCAAGTGGTTCCGCCGCCGATTCACCGTTCGCAGCTCAGCAATCGCAGCAAGCCGGCGCGCCGCCCCCGGATCTGCTCATCCAACCGCCTCCGTGTGCGCAGTCTCAATCGGGCGCCTCCAGCGTTCCAGTGCCGTCTGCGTCGGCCACGCCTGCTACAACGCCCTCGGGCTCTTGTCCGCCTCCCAGTCCAGGTCATCAGGCAACATTCTCAAAGTGTGACAAGTAAGTAAATACTTGCTAAAGGCGTCTTGCTCATCTATATGTCATACTGGTCCATTTAATTAGAAGAGCCAATATGTGAACAAAACTTATTGTGCTCTAAATTAGAAATATGTGGCATCAGGGGTCTGCGAATGGACTTGATAGTCTTATTCTCAGAACAGAAAGCAGACGATACAACTGAATAACAGGTTATACCAAGGATCTGCTATTACCTAAGATGTGGCTCCAGGGCTGTGCTGGGACTGTTTGTCTGAAGTTGCTAAAAAAAAATAAAATGATACTCCTAAAATGTTTACATCTATCAATCTTACTAGAAGCATGCATCAGTATGGCTACCTCAATGTAGAGTGCAATAATCCTATATCCACCAAACTTTTTATTCACGTCCAACAACTACACTGGTGAACAAAATTAAAATATTTTTTTGTGACATGGACAAAACAAGGTGGCTATTATGTAAAACGTACCCAAAAAGCCGGGAATAGCATTCGATTTTTTCTATCACCCACGGTTTTCTTGCAATAAGGCATTTTATTTGCTGCTTGTACTCGTAAAATATAAGAATATGTGTGTGCGAGTACTAATAAATACTCGAATAAACATTAATTTCAGAATGTTCTATGGCGATATGTTGCTCCTGACGTATCTCTTAACAATGTCCAGCAATAATCAGCAAGCAAATTGACACTCCATTTGCATTGATACCGTTTTTCCATAGCAGAAATGTCTTGGTGGAACCGTTCACCATGTTCATCACTTACTGCACCTAAAGTTTTCGGAAAAAGTCAAGATGAGAATCCAAAAAGTAAATTTTTAGAGGCATGTTACATCCAATTCCTTTATAAGCATTAATTAGTTCACTAACTATATCATTGCCTAAACAATTTGCAGTAACTGATTTAAAAGCATTCCAAGCCCGTAATTCAGTTTCATTGTTCATGATTTTCCGTATTTGTGGACCCTCGAATATGCCCTCTTTAATTTTTGCCTCACTAAGTTTCGGAAATGTTTGTTTTAAATGCGGAAACCATTTCGAAAAGCAACACGTTTTTGGGATCAACTAGTGGTTCATGAGCAATGTTTTTGAGGCCCGGAGTTAATACCTGACGTAGTGGCCACTCCTTCTGTTCATAATGACGATCTCGCGCACTACTGTCTCATTCACAAAGAAAACAACAATATTTGGTATATCCAGTTGCATACCCAGAAAAAGGTATCTGCACATATGACCCACCCATATTCATTATAACGGATATGCTCTAACAGAACTCGCATATTTTCATATGATTCCTTCATATGAACTGCGTGCGCTATAGGTACAGATGGATATTTATTACCATTGTGTACCAATACCGCTTCTAAACTAAGCTTAGAAGAATCAATGAACAGGCGCCAACCATTTGAATCATGTTTCTGTCCTCGCGCCGAACAAATTGTTGACTTCGGAGCAATATATCCCTTTCTTGACGGAAACAGTGTGTGAGGTCTTGTTGCCGTTTTCGGTAAAAAGTAGCGTTAAGATCACCGTGGAGAAGATTCCATCCTTTTAATCTTGACGCTAAAAGTTCTGACTAGGATTTTGACAGATCTAATTCTCGAACGTCATTAAGTTCGCCCTGTGTGATCAAGTGCGGCGCTGTTGAACCTCCTGGCAGGTCAAACGAAGGATCGGAAATTTTTACGCTTTCTGTACCATCACTTTCAGAATCGGTGGATTCGACTTTTTCATCCAGAGTACAAGATTCTGGTGGAACTGGGACAGAAAGTGCATCACTATGATTAACGGGCCGCAAAGCTGATGGTAGATTAAAATACTTGACAGTACCTGTATGTTTCGATTTTGTTGAATATTTGTGAGGCAAAAATAGCAATCAGTAGTATCGTCTCCCGGTTCTTTCCAAACCATTGGTACCGCAAAGGGCATTTTACGATTGTCGCCTCTTAACCTACCTGTTAACAACGTTACACAAGTCTTACAACATCTATGAGGGGCCTATAGTATATCTTGGTCGCCAACTTTAATTCCAAAATAAAGATCGTATGCTTTCAACACAAGGGTAGTAAAAGTACGTTTTTAGAATTTAAAAGTTAGCTCTTCGCACACATAACAAAAACTGCCCGCACTATTTATACAATTTCTAGGCATTGTCCATAAAGCTAGTCTCGATCACAATAACCTAAAAACAACACACCGTTTTAACAAAAATTAATAGTACTCAAATATCTCAGTACTCTTCTACACAGAAAACGTAACTGACTTGGCTGCTATTAGTCTGCTAATAAACGCAAAATGCTCTCTAAACACAGAGCTCGCATATAATAAACAGAAATAGACAGGTCTTAACATTATATATGTGCGTCATCACATAAACGCGGAGAAATGCGGCAATATGAGATGTTACGTATTATAATTCTGAAAAGTAAATATTACCGAATATCGGTGGGTGATAGAAAAAATTTGTTTTTAGATTTGATTTAAGGGTCTCAAAATACATAAGATACACCCAAAAATTATCATTTCACAAATCCTGTGTTTATCAGTGCTATTGTCCAATGTTTTACTGGACTGGCAAAACATACGTCTGGAATAACCTTCGGAGTTTGAGTCTGGAGCTCAAGCAGCATCTAAGTTAGGTTCTCCTCGATGTGGCCAACTGTCTCCGTATACACTTTGGAAAATAATAAGGCAGACCTGATGTATTTATTTGAAAGAGCTCTGCAACCTATGGCGAGAATATTGAGTTGCGTAGTTGTTTTCAACAATTTTTTTTATATTAAGAAAGCTAACTTCATATTTACTTAACAAATGTTCTATATGTTCGAATGTAGTAGCTTTTAGAAAATTGTCTACACGTCAACAAGATATTTTCAGAATAGTTCATTACCTTTTGAATTTTTACCCCATAATTAGATAATGTACTAGATACTGTAAATTTCAGTCACGCATCGGTTTTACCAAATTCTGGGAAAAATTATAAGGCGAGAATAGAATTTGTAATATATTTGTAGTATATCTCCTTTTTTTAATACTCCAACCACCACGAGGGCTTAAACCCTAAACATTCATGCGGTACCGTGGGGCTATAGGGGGATACAGGGGAAAGGGGGGAACGCCACACGGACTCTGGCGAGGGAACAGGTTGAGATGCAACATGCACACATTCTGGCCCCGCTTACGAGATCCGCCGGGTGGTACCTCTGCGTTCGACAGTCAGAGACCGTCTACCCCCTACGGACAATCACAACATCCATAGCCAAGAGAAAAATTTCTCTTGAGACGGGATTTGAACCCGCACAGCGCACGGCGACTGATCAGGAGACCGAAGAGTCTACTACTGCGGCCACCGCTGCTGCCTCTCAAGAACTTACACTGTTGTTAGAAGGAAAAATTTCGTTTGTCAGGTAGTTTGATACAGATATATTCTTGGTCATTAAAATTACTACATTGGTAAACAATGACTTGGCGTTCATTGACATTTCAAGTTTGAATTATCCGATGATAGAAAGCGTATGTTGGTATAAAATTTTTTTTAAGTATCCGACATCGAAAAAAGACAAAGTAACAAATGTTAGAAACCAAGGGTCTAATAGTAAACGCAAACGATATAGCTTAATATTCTAAACACAATAGTATTTGATGCTGCTTAACTGCAAAAATATTGGCTTATCCAGAAGAGCTCTCCAAATCTTCCACAGTATAACTTTAAAGGTATTTCAAAACATACCTAAACTGAAACCCTATCAAGAATGAGCTCTTAATATGCATGAGTGACAAAATGCAATATTCAAACTATTTTGGATACTATATACTGCATGCTTTCGCATAATCTAATATGAAAAATACCAGCCGCCTATATTGCAATTATACTTACATAACAGCCACATAAAAGTGTGTTTGTTGAAAAATACAGGCATTTAATTTGTTACGTGACTATAATACTAAGTGGTAATATCCGCAGGGCTTTGGATGTTTTGTTTATAGTCAGTTGTAGCAATCGATCATCCGTTATATTGGTAACAATGCATGTTGTGAGAACTCGTTAGGACCGAATACGGCTTGAATTTATAATAGTTTCTAATGGCCAGTGCATTGTTGCCAAAATAAATTTAATGGAATGACCAAATGTAACAAAGCTCAACAGGTCATATCGATTAAGTTTTGTTCTCAAAACTCAAGCTTTTTGATAAACGGTTTTATATCAGAAATCATTTCTGCTAGTTCTTCGTCTCTCTTCTGAAGCTGCAAATTGAGTTCATTTAATTTTTCTGTGATATCCACAAGAAAACCAAAATCTCTAAGCCAGATTAATTTTCCAGTTCCGGAATCGGTTTATCACGTTGTTTGAAAAATTGAACTATGGGAGATATTATTTCATTAAAACGTTTCAGCACTCGTCCCCTACCTAACCATCGGACTGCAGAGTGAAGAAGTAGTTTAATATTAATATTAATAATGCTCGAGCTCTAATCTTGTTCACAATTTTTACTACCAGTTTCATAACGTTGTTTAGTTTTAGAAAATTTCCACATAATGCTTGCTGATGAATAATGCAGTGGTAACAGAGGAATTGCGGGAAACTTTCATCTTTGTACTATATCATTGCTTACTATTTCTACTCGTCTCATCACTGTATTAGCAGAAAGTCGCATATATTTTATAGCAGACACTATCCCGTCTTTATTTCTAAAGTCGACAAATAATGAAGCTGCAGTTTCTGAAAACGCCTGTTTTATCATTTCCCCGTCTTCATCAGGTATCTTCTTTTGTGTAATTATCTGAGACACCCGCTATGATGCTTCAGTTAAAGTCTTACTTTTGTCGATCGTTTTTAAAAACATTGTGTGTTGTCCAATTAACTGATTTTTTAATGGTTTCAGTTTTTCCGTTCTGGTTGCAGATCGTAATGGGTATGATTTTTCAAAATTCGAATGTACAGTTTTATAGTGAATCTCGATATTCCCTTTTTTAGCAACGGAAACAGAGGTATTACATAAAAACG